TGCTAACTAATTTGGATGTAAATTAAAAAAATAAAATAAAAAAATATATATATAAAAATGACCTTTAAAAATGCACTAGCATTATAGAGTTTAAATTTGGAATTCCTTGACCAAGTTAAAATGAATTTTTATAAATTCATTAAGTGTTTGCTGTAACATCTACCTCACGTACAACTTTGTACTAGGAAATATAGGAGATGCAAAAAAAAAAAAACAAAAAAACCCAAAAAAAGGATCAGATGGGGCGCCTGGGTGGCTCAGTTGGTTGAGGGTCTGACTTTGGCTCAGATCATGATCTCATGGTTCGTGAGTTTGAGCCCTGCATCGGGCTCCATGGTGACAGCTCACAGCCTGGAGCCTGCTTCAGATTCTGTGTCTCCCTCTCTCTGCTCCTCCCTGGCTTGCACCCTGACTCTCAAAAATAAACAAACATTAAAAAAAATTTTTTTTAATGGATCAGAAATGGTCCTTGGATAGGGGAAAGTTATGTTATAAACAGGAAGGTAAATCAAGTCCTATTACATATAACCACAAGATGATGTCATAAAATGCAGTATGTTTCACTTTACATACTAGGTTACTAAAAAGCTGTGATTTTGAAGTGAAGTAAAATCATACAGGCTTAAAATTTTACAATATAAATTCAATATTTCTAAGAATTCCAGGTGAATCCTTTTTTGTAGTAGAAATAATCACCTATAAATATGTTAATCTAGTAAGTCCAGAGTGTTATTAAACCTTATAGTTCCCTTGATGGCTAGGCTAGTTCAGTTTCTGAAATGACTTTAGGTTAATCAAACCAGTTTTCACATTTTTCCTATCTGATTACACCATTCTGCTCTCCAAGAGTGTGCCTCTTTAGGGATTTAAATTCTTTACCCACTGAAAAAATTAGACTATAAACGAATCTACATAATAGACAACTTATAGGAATTGTTTAATAAAGTACAGAGTCTTTCAAAGTAAGACTGTACCATATTAGTTAGCAGAATACTTACTTTCATTCCTTCTTCCCAACTAATCCACAGGTCACCTCGGGTCAGGAAGCAAGCAACTGCATGTCTGGCTAAATGGTGAATCCAACCCTCCTGACGAAGCTGTGTCATGATGGCATCAATCCATGGAAAGCCTGTCCGTCCTTCTGCCCATTTTGCTAAAGCCTCAGGATTCTTATCCCAAGGAATCTGAACACAGATGGGGTTTCCTTCCATTTTATCAAAGCGTGGATTATTTGTTGCTGCTGTATAGAAAAATTCACGCCATAACAGTTGCCCATAAAGGGAAAGGGGAGGGGAACTGTTCTTCTTTACCTAAGGTTAAAATGCAAATAAGTATTATAAGCAATTTTTAAAAAAGTATTCTGAAAATCAAGCTTCAGTTTTAGATAGTACCTTTTTGTAGAGATCTGTTAGTTTGAAGTAAAATAGTCGACATGACAAACAACCAAATCGAAGATAAGGACTGAGTCCAGTAGGGCTAGCAAGCAGTGAATTTGCATTCATTCGAGGTCTTTCAAAGTTTGCCACCCACGCCTGAAAATACACAGAGAGAATTATGCTAACTAATTGCCTTTTCCATTTTAAAGAGTATTTAAAACTGATATATATTTCTTTAAAGTTACATAGTTCTGGGGCGTCTGGGTGGCTCGGTTGAGTGTCCAACTCTTGATTTCTGCTCAGGTCATGATCTCATGGTCATGAGATCAAACCCCGCTTCAGGCACTGTGCTGGGCATGGAGCCTGCTTAAGATTCTCTCTCCTTCTCCCTCTGCCCCTCCCCTGCTCACACTCTCTAACCTCTCTCAAAAACAAAAACAAAAAAAAGTTACATACTTCTTGGAGAATAATATCTTATTATCCCAGCCACAATCATGTTTTAATAAAAAACACAGCAGAATACAATTAAGCATTCTTTTGTTTTAGCCATCCTGGTGTAGCACATACTCATATGAAATAAATTACCTTCAAATTCCTAACACGAAGCTGAGAGCACTTTCAACCTGTCTCCTTGACACTGAGGTAAAGGTGAAATAGAAGAACTTTATCTTAGCTTCAAAGTTATGGTCATCAGATACCAGCTTACACAGAAAGAAGAGGTAGTATTGGTAGTAGCTAAAGAGGAAATAATCAGCAGAGGAGGAAAAAAATATCTAAATGAAGAGATGGTTGTTAATTTTCAAACAATTAGGTCTGTGCTGTTTTAACTATTTCTCTCAATTCCTCTCATTCAACAGTCTACTTTTTGGTTTTAAAAAAGAGTGAAATTATTCTTTAGATGCCAGTTTGGAAATACAAGCATGATCTATGTTATCATACTTTTCTTTCCAAATGCCGTTCCAAACGTGTAAGTGCTTCAGTTTCTCCGCCTGGCCATACTGCAGAGGGTAAGCCATCTGTATCAAAACCTAAAAAAAAAACAAAAAAAGAAAAAAGAAAAAATATTCTTCTGGAACTAAAATAATTTTTATTGAACCGCAACAGGTAGGAAAAAAATACTTTGCAGAATAATTTATGACAGTAGCATAAAAATGAATTGACGGCCCTGGATAACTCCTCATATATAAGGATACATCATGGTCTCTATTCTTTAGGATGAACATCTTAAGGTGATCACAGATAATCACATTTATAGAACACATAAATAATGTACAGATTTATCACTTCTTAGTTTAAGAGTTTCTTTTAGATTTTTTCTCCTTTCCCTCTTAATGCAAAATACTTTACATGTCAAATTAGAAGTGAGATTTTCTGAGTGATTTATTAATTCTTAAGCTCTGCATTTATTACCATTTACACCTACCAAGTTCTTCCAGTGAAGGGACTCCATATTTCTCATCATGGTCATCAGACAGAGGAGTTGTGCACTTTTCTATTAGTTCTGAAGTAATTGTCTCTACGGGTATCTCTAGTGGTTCCATTTTGCTGATGAGAGTCTGGAATCTTTTATAAGTAAGAGGTGGTTGTCCACCATTGAGTTCAATGATCCTAATAACAAAGTAAAATAAAAATATAATTTGACTGGTAAGTTCTGAAAAGGCTTAAAATCAGAAAATAAAATTAATTACTTAAGACTTCTAGGCAGATGTAAGCTCCTTATACAACCATGAAAATTATTAAAGTAGTTATTGAATCTAAAAACCATTCTCGCAATTTTTTAAACATCTGCTACTTGTCAAAAATATACAGTATGCAAATACCAAAACCTTTAAGACAAAGGGTATCATTAAACATCTATGAGTGAAAAAAACAAGCAGCTAAATTAGCCTAAAGGCAATAACATAAAAATAATACATATGAAAAGGTAAAAACATTAAAACTCAGCTCAAAGAATCTCTTAATCGTCAGTAAAAACTAAACCAGACCAATACAATATCAAGGAGCAATAAGCAAGTCTCATTAATTAGGATTCTATATTACTGTAGTGACAATCACTTGCTATTTTCTATTGTGCTTATCATGCATTTGTTTAAAATGTCAGCATATGTATCTTATGTACATTTTACATTCACTTCTGATCACTGATTGCCTCAATCAAGTTATAGTAAAAAGAAAAATTAGCTTTGACAATGGTAGTTTGGATCAGACACTATTTGGGAATAACCAATTATTTCTTTTACGATGGCCATTTGCTTGACATTTAGCCCTAATAAAGAAATACTGTAAAATCTAATTCCTTCATTTTATGGATCAAAAACTAGAGCCTACTGAAAGAGTTAAATAAGTTAGTCAAGGTTGCATAACTAATAAATAGGAAATCAAGGTTTCCTTAATCCAAATGTAGTACATTTTTACAAAGTTTTTAACTTAAATTCCAGTTAGTTAACATACTGTATTATATTAGGTTGAGGTGTATACTTTAGTGATTCAACACTTCATACAACACCCAGTGTTCATCACAAGTGTCCTCCTTAATCTCCATCACCTATTTAACCCATCCTCCCAGCCACCTCCCACTCTGGTAACCATCAGTTTATTCTCTATAGTTGAGAGTCTGTTTCTTGCTTTGCCTCTCTCTTTTTTTCCTTATGCTCATTTGTCTTCTTGAATTCCATTTTTCCTTCAGGGTGTATAAGAATGCAAAAAGATTTCTGCACACTGATTTTATAACCTGTGACTTTACTGAATTCATTTATCAGTTCTAGTAGTGTTTTGGTGGAATCTTTAGGGATTTTTATATACAGTATCATGGCATCTACAAATAGTCAAGAGTTTTACTTCTTCTTTACCAATTTGGATGCCTTTTGTTTCTTTATGTTGCCTAATTGCTATGGCTAGGAATTCCAGTACTATGTTGAATAAAAATGGTGAGAGTGGATATCCTTGTCTTGTTCCTGACTTTAGGGGAAAAGCTCTCAGTTTTTCACAATTAAATATAATGTTGACTATGAGTTTTTCATACAAGGCTTTATTATGTTGAGATACATTCTCTCTAGACCTACTTTGCAGAAGGTTTTTATCATGAGCGGATGTTGTACTTTGTAAAATGCTTTTTATGCATCTACTAAAATGATCATAATGGTTTTAATCCTTTCTCTTATTGGTGTGATGTATCATGTTTATTTTTTGCGAATATTGAGCCACCCCTGCATCTCTGGAATAAATTGCACTTGATCGTGATGTATGATTTTTTTAATGTATTGCTGAAATTGATTTGCTAATATTTTCTTGAGAATTTCTGCATCTATATTCATGAGAAATATTGGCCTGTAGTTCTTTT